GAAAAGATGGATCATTCTACACGCTATCTGATTTTTTTTTTTAATAAGAGATTGAATATTTTTAACAGTCTGGCACTTAAAAATTTTGTAGTAATTCAGTACCAGGATTGCACAAATTTTCAGTGTTTTCCTCCACAGAAACTTTTCTTTTTTTTTTTTTAATTGTTAATATCCAGTTTGGAAGATTCCACTTTAGTGTATTATGCAATATTGTTCAGAACCGGATTTTTAGCCCAGCCTGTATTTTGCAATAGAGAAGCGTGAGTGCATCAGTTTGTTCGTTTATATATAATAAAATGTTGTTATCACTTCATGAAATATTTTGTTTTATTCATACATATATATATATATATATATGTGTGCATGTACATACATATGTACACACACTCACACACATATATATACCTGTATGTTTATATATGGAGGAAGTTATGTCATTTCTTTTTCCAGACACAGGGAAAGTGACAGTCTGTGAACCAAGTTGACTTTAGAACTACAAAAGAATAAAACAAGTTTGAAAGGGATCCATATAGAAGCATTCAGATGTGATTTTGGATGAACTGTGATACACTGTAAACATAGAGTTCATTTGTCACTTAATTGACTGTAGACCTATTTCTACCTTCCACTCTTTTGACTAGATTAGAATTTTAAAGCGTTAATATGTTGAAAAGCAATTCCTTGGCTCTCATATTAGAAGAGCCCTAGAGCATCAGAAAACATTGGGAATGGGTTTGGTTTCTAATTATAATATCAATTTTCCCTAACTGCCCTTCAGCCTGGATAGTGGATATTGTCTCATTTGTATATCATGTCAGGATTGTCTTGTGGAAGGATCTGAAGAAAGACACGCTAATTACTTGAAAGATTACATGGGGGTTGTTCCAGATGGAGGAGGTATCATGGGGAAAAAAGTACTGACTGTTAATGCCATGTGAACTAATTAGAAATATATAGATAACTGAGAAAGATTAAAAATCAGGGCCTTGAAAGTTAAAGCAAATCTTTATATTCAAATAATATGACATTAGTCCCCACACCGCTATATTATCTGTCACAGTAATGTCTTCTTATGTTCTGCCTGATTCCTCATGTCTAACCTGTGAACTTACTTAGGAATAAGATGTCTCAAAGGAATATGTATAATTCAAGTATCTTGGTATTTTGCTTTTCCTTACAGGTGGATGTGGCCGTAGTGCATTTCACTCCATTGGTGCAGCCAAAGATACAGCAGCCCTTTGTGCTAGTAGAAAAAATTGTTCGAAGTGTTTTTCAGTTTAGAAGAAAATATTGCTGCCGTGGAATTGAGTAAGGACCTTTCATGAAAAATGCTCTTTCAGATAATGCTTTGTAAATGTATCAGCTACTAAATCAATCAAGAAACACCTTTAGCCATGTATTTGAGTTTATTCATGCTGTTTATGTTTTTACTGCCTAAAAGCCATCATAGTTCATCAGAGCTTTCCGTTTCAAAATGTTTCCTGGAGTGAAAAGTACGAAGTGATCTCTTTCTGTTGTAGTAATTAGGTGACAAGTACTGTGCATTTTTGTTAAATGAAGCCAAAGCTGTTAAACTCACTGGGATAGATTGGTGATCATTTGTCTTTCTCAGAATTTAAAAAAAAAAAAAAATCCACACAAAAATATAAGCAACTACACAAATGCTGCTATTGAAGTATAATTTGAACAACAGCATTTATTGGTTGAATTAAGTGAAAGTCTAAAATTCTGGACTGAAGTTTGCAGTGTGAAGGAAGGGGGAGAACTTACTTGACCTGTGCGAAATTTTACTTATTTAGGGATAATGTTAAAAAGTAAAATTCCTATCTCCATACTTCCCTTTTATGGTGTTCTTATTGCCGCTTTAAATTTTATGCTGGCTAAGAAGCTATATCTAACTGAGGGGAGACCATGGCAGATTGTTCTCCAGGGATCCTGTTAAACTCTAGCATAGATACACGTGTCTAATTTGGTGCGGGGCAAAGCCCGGCATTCAGCGTTGTAGAAATGTGTGACAGAGCTGCTGTTAGGAAACGAGAGGCATGCTGTTGCCGTTTGTGCTATCTGAATATTGCTGGGTATGGTTTTGGTCCTGAAGCAGTCTAGCATTAGACTGGGTGCCGCCTTCCTGAACTACAAGCCATGCATGTCACCAGCATAAAGGCAAGCGTAGAATTTCAGCTCTAGTCTTTTGCAGGAAGAGTTTTGGATTTTTTTTCTTGAGGTGGTAAATGGCATTGGTACCTGTCAAACATTTGATCTGAAAATGAGTGCTGCTTTGCCTGTTCTGAGTACGCGTTTAGAAAATGAGAGCCCCAAACTCCAGATGAGTTGGTATTTGATTTCCAGTTTGGTTTGTGAAAGACATTGTCAGCTGAAGGCATACGTATACTTTGTGTAGAAATTTTTGCCAAAGTTTTAAAAAAAATTCATCTGTTTGTTGTGTAAGCTCAAAACCTAGTACTGCTCTACATGCTTTTGAGGGAAGGAGGGGGAATCAGAACTTTTGGACGTCACATATCCCATAGCAGCTTATCGTGCTTTAGCCCAGTGCCTAGCATGCAACTAAGAAACAAGCCTCTTATTCTTTAGCTGACCTGGAAAAAAAAACAGAGGCAAAGTCTGGTTTATAATAGGGGCTATTGAGTTTTATAAGATATCTCATTACCTTGTTTTTGTATAGCGTATATGTGTATAACTTCTGTGATCTGCAAGAACCATTAAGATTAAACAATTAAATCGATGAAGAAGAAAAATTCAGTTTAAGTAAGTTACTGTTCACAACAGTATTTGTGTACACAGCAGTACTCAAATGTGGAGTATGGAGCATGTTTTGTTTAAAGGGTGATTAAGTGTTTTTGGCACAAAGTAAATCTTTTAACTACTAATTCAGAGGTGAGAATAATGTAAGGCGGGATATCAAAATGGGAACTGATACGTTTCAACGTTGCTGACCGCTATGCTGAAATAACGGTGATATTTCTGACCATGTCCTTGAGTAGCACATACTTCAGACTAGGATATTCTGAGACATTCCTTCCCTCTCATGTCATTTTAAACCCTTTCTTAAGTTTGTATTCTGCCTACCCACCAAGAGCCAACTTTCACTTACCCAAAGCTTTTAGACTGGCTTGTCCAGCCAGCCTGCCCAAAAAAAAAAAAAAAGGGCTGGGGGGGAGATGCATTCTAATAGATATACAGCATTTTTTTTTAGGTCTTAACTATGTATGACAGCGGCAGATAATCTGAAAATTAAATGAGGCATACACAACAAACATGCACAGATTTCTTTCTGCCCTCCTGATCTAGTATGGACTGACGACTACCGCTAATAAAAGCCTAGTCATTTAGTGCTTTCAATAGTTTGTATTTTGCATAATATATTTTTTTTTGTGAAACACTTGAAATACTGCTACTCATTAAGATTTGGGGAACTTGTAAGAGAAGACAGATAATGCTTCTGGCAGCAAACAGTACAGGAACTGATGTGACGCTTTATAAACAGTGACAAGAGATGTAAATAAAAAAAAAATAAAATCTAACTCCTGGCACCCTTTCCCAGTTGTATATATTAAAAAAAGTGAATGATTATTAAATATGCCTTCCTCATCTTTCTTTCCCATTGGAATGGAACACTGAGAGAGTCATAGGGTTTGGATCTGATGTAGTTGCACAAAGTTTACTCTGTTGTTGCACTTTAAATATAGGCTAATTCTAAGAAGCCTCTGTGACTATCTACATTCCCAAAGCTGCTCTTAATGTTCGCATAAACATTTATTCATGTGTTTAATGTGGGATGTATGTATATACTTTCCTGTGTTGTTATAAATTGCATTTGTAGAAAAAGGGCCCTTGTATCCATTTACTTAGACAGCGAGACTTACTAGGATTGGCAGAGCTAAGGTAATGAATGACATACTTACTTAATACTAAACCTATATTAAATAAAATCCCAAGACTACTTTCTGTCTCTTAAGGGAAACTGAATAATTTGATTGCCTTTTTTTCTCTTTTAGGATCTTGTTTCCTGAAAGTGAACGTTTGAAAAAAACAGAACAGCTGATGATGGCAGCAGATGTTGAGCCAACTTTGCGTCCTATTCAGCTCTCCATGTCACACTTCAGAAATCTGTGCAATGCCTATAGGAAAATGTGTGATGAAGACCCAAGTCTTTTTGCTTACAATTACAGAGAAGAACTAAGGCAGAAGAAGAAACTACCTAAAAATACTAGTCACTCAGAACAGATTGACGAGGAGAATCAGCTGTAACAGCTGTGATTTCAGCAGACAGATTTTGAATTTCTTTTTTTAAGTCATTGATCTAGAGGTGTTGATGCAGTAGAAGATTTAAACATATTCCTACGTCTGTGCATGAATAGAAGACATACTTTGGAGAAAGTGCAGGAGAGAGAGGGCTTTCCCATTTTATTTATTCTATTCAGCTGTAGAGAAAAATGAAAGGACGCTCCAATTGCAAGGTGTCTGTAAGTTCTGTTTACTTCAGGGGAATGGACAGAATACATACCAAAAGCGAGGTATGTTGTGAGACATGCAATTAAGCTGGGATACTTCTGAAATAATCAGTTTTGTATGAAAGTGCATTACTGAATCATAAGAAGAAAAAAAACAGTTTTTGTACTTGAGCGTGTAAGACAACGTTTGGGTTTTTGTGTTCCTTTCATCCTGGAACATCCTATGGTGCAGAGTAATTTAAAAAACAAAAGCCAAAACCCTTGTAGCAATATACTCAAGTGACCGGCTTAAAGGAGGATAAAGTGCACAGATTACCTTAAGGTCTGCTAATACTCTTCTTTTTTATGCCAAAGCAAAGAACCAGGGTTTTAAATCTCCAACTAGAGAAAAGCAGCACGATAAAAAGTAGAAAACATTGCTAAGTACGTACAATACTTATTTGTCCTTTACTGTACAGGCTGGTAGAGAAAATAAAAAATACAGTCAAATAAAAGATTACAGTCCAGGCTTTGTTTTTATATTTACATATATATATATATAAAGTATAAACAGCATCTTAAAACTTAAAAAAAAATGAAACTTCAGCACTGTCGTGCAGTAGAACACATTAAAATAACTTAATTCTGCTTTAAATAAAGCAAAAATGAAAACCAAAGAAATAAAATGCCCAAGGTATTGAAAAAAAATCCTTTTGTAAAGCTACTGTCCACTGTAATCTCTGTCACTCACTAGTATCTTTTCCACATAACTTAAAATACTAACAAAGCCATCCTTCCCTTACCCTCCTCAAGAATACTACAAAATCTCAGTAACTGCTTGAAAGGGGTAAACTAATTTACAGACCTTGGCCAACTTAATCTATTTTTGATCCGCAATAAATTAAAATAACTTAAGACTCCTTTACAGCTGTTCTTGTGGAAAAAAATGTATTAGTGCACAAAATCAAATAGATAGTAGTTTTCCTGCGGCTTCCATGAATTTACTAGTTTTAAAGCAAAATAAGTTTGTTGAATGTTATGTGGACTTAAAATGAACAATTTACATATAGTGCTCAGAAAGCTAGGATTTCCCGTGCCTCTCCACAGTTTCATAAAAACAGTCCTCATTAACTACAGATGCTAAGCTCTGGACACTGAATTCTCTCTCTAAAATAGAGTTCAGATCCAAGTTTGCAGCATCCGAATGACTGTCAAGGGATTGGTGACGTTCTTGCATTGCCAGTAAAGTTCCTTTGTTACGCTTTGTGCTGTTTACTTTTCGCTTAACTGGGCAAAAATGGCCACGCACCAGCTTTGGATGCTCATCTGTCTTGAAACCATCCCCTTCCTCGTTTTCAGCAGCCTGATCTCGTTCAGAGTCAGGACTAGGGTCTTCTGAAATCTTCAGCCGCTGGAACTGTATTTCAATATCTTTAGTAGGGCTGCCTTTCTTTAGGCTCTGATAGTCATCGTCATCATCATCACTGAGAATATCGGATTCCTTGACAAGAACACTGGAAAAGTCTGATGCACAACTCTGTAAATGTTTATCAGGAGATGAATTTTTGGGCTCCTGTATGCTCTCAGTGGTGTGGCAACTGCTGCTCTGAGTACTGCTACTCAAGCTGCATTCGTCAGAATCCTGGAAGTTACCTTTCCCCATGTCACTGTTCCACTCACTACTGCAGGGTTTCTTCAGTACCTTCAAAGACCTCGTGGAAGCTGTGCAAAGAAAAAAAGCAGTTTTATTATTTGTTCTGCCAAAAGATACTCTGATTATACTGTCTAGCTCAATAGCCCAATTGTAATTACAGTGTATATGGTGTCATTTGATACTCGTCAAAGGTCAAGTATGTCAGCATTCTGGTACAAACAAACAGTGTAATCGCATGTCAGATTTCTTATTCCACCTACCCCAGGGTTTTATGCTTGCAAAAGCCTGCAGAAACTGTAGTAATGATTTACACACGCCTGTAGGAAAGCAAGACTGGTTCCAATACCTCAAGGGTTGGAGGGCTAAGTTGGAGGCTTGAGTGGAACTGATACCTGTCATGCTACGGGAACGTTACAGACAACTGAACAGATGGATAGAGCACTTGAATGACTAGTAGCTGACACTTTTACTCATTTAGCTAAATAGTCCGAAGCCTGTGCTTAATTAGGATATCTGCTGGGGTGCAGCTTTAGTGCACTGAAAGCAGCAAGACCCCTTGCCTTTTGTCAGTTCTTTGAGCTTTTAATGTTACCAGGGCTGAGTCATTAAAAACACAGAGGAAAGAAATCTCAAGGGGAGTCCATTTCTACCCAGTAAAATTGATTTGGGCCTTATTAAGTAAGTAAGTAAGTAAGTCTTCACTTTAAATAAAGTTGATGACGTATCCCCACAGTGTGGGACATGGCAAGCCTGCTTTGTTCATCTAGTCCCTGCCCTAAGAGTAGAGTTGTGTGACTCTACCACCTCCCCAGACTAAAAAAAAGAAACAGGATTTGGGGGGAGGGGGGGGTCTGGCACATTACATGCTATGGTCATGTTAATAACTGTGAACCTCCTACCATCCTGGATTCCAGGCTGAATTTTGCACTTGGACAAACGCCTCTTACCCAGTTTGGCTGTTGCAGGCACACGGTTCTTGAGTGGAACAAGGCGATCTTTACACGTTTTCTCCAGTGGCAACTCACATTTTATGTGGCGTCTGAAATTCTCCCGCAAAATAGAACGGATCACCTTCACAATGTTAGTCTTGTTCTCGCAGTCACTGCAAGTTTAAAACAACAGATAACCCAATTTTCTCCTCTGAAGAAAGACACTACTGGGATAAAAATCTGCCTTCCTCCTTGCTGCTGAAGTGCTTTAGTTCAGTCCATTTCTTTTGTAGCAGTTTTGCAGCTAACTTTTTCATGTGGTGTTAGACATTTCTCACACTGTGTTTTGAGATCGTAGTTATTTTCCTTCAGAAAAACAGCCTGAAAGATAACCTCCTATACTTAGTGATCACGCTATAAGTGGTCATTATTAGAAGGACGTTTCTGCTAACCAACCAAAAATCTGGTAAAATTAGTTACTTTGCCCATAACACACTGGAATTTATGAACACATATCTGCAGATTTCTAACACTGGCTTACTGAGCCAAATTCACTCCAATTTCAAATTGTCATACCTTATGCAGTTACACACTGGCTCAGTGCCTGGATTCAGAAAGTGAAAGCTGCGTTACAAGTGCTGACACAAAGGTCACTTGGGGAAAAAAAAAAAGTCTTCTTTCTTTAAATTGCATTAATGTAATTTGGCAATTGCAACCTCCAGGTAAAGCTTACCTGCTGCACAACTGAAAAATAGTTTCTGGCCTGCCTTCTAGTTCTGACTTGGTGTGAATCAGTTCCCAGATACAGCTGTTTTCTGTTCCTGTGTGTGGAAGGAAACATTATTTTTGTATATGCTTCAAAATTCTTCCTCTCACAAAGACAGTGTTAATACAGGCACGGAGTGATCACGTAAGATCTCACCATGAGGCAGAACCTAAAGGAAAGTCTCCTGAAGTCTCACTTTCTATGCAGCGTTAAGTTCTGCCTTTGAAAACAACCTTCTCTCAGAGAGTTACTTTACCCCATTCTTAAGCTTCCCACCGCCTTCCAGCCTTACAAGGCCGTTCTCCCAGGTGTGCAAAGCATTTGCTGTTAAATACCCTTTAATGACACTTATACAAGAAATAGAACTGGATAGGATCGTCTTTGCTTGCTTCTAGCTCCATTTCCCTTGTGCTCGACTGTGAGCCCACTGTACAACAAAGATGAACTTGGAACAAAAATACAGTTTCCTACTACAACAAATGATGCACTCAAGGTTTCCACACAGGAAAACACAGTGGTCAGTGTTTTTGTGCTCACACAGAGCACAAGGGTGTCAACAGGGCATCATCCGCGGTGAAACACCTTCCTGGTCATGCATCTTTTCATTGAGGATTTCCATTCTGTTATTTATCAACCCTTTGTGACAGTCTCAAATCACGGCAATAACATCACTGCAAGTCAGTCTTTATGTCATCTTGCATCTTCCTAAGCTCATGAAAGAAGGGGGATGAAGCCAATACAATAAATTGAAAAAGTCTGTTAATGTACCAGTACCCCCTGACAGCAGAGGCAACAGTGGATACTATTTTCTCTGCATCTGCCTATTTCCAGAGGGTCCAAAAAGACATATGGAAGAAGCAGTATTACACCATCCCAGAAAACTCTTCATTCCTAAAGTATCCAGTGCAAGGGAATTACCTGCTGTATTCCCCAGTCGAACCTGAAGAGCAGATAAAGGAATCAGCCAACGAAATTTAAATGGATCCAAGTCACCATAATTATGTGCAGCACGAACATTAGTGGGCTGCAAAAGGAAAAACAAGAGGCTATTTCTAAGAAGAAAAAGCAAAAAAGTGTATTTCTGTTTTGCTTTTAGAAGGACCCACATCTAAAGAGAAATTGCAATTCATTAGACTTTCTCCTACAGTAGGCTAATACTGGCTTGTAAATGTAGCTGATGTAGCCGAAATGCTGATAGACTCAGCCTTTGAAATTTGTAATTGCTTCAACTTTCAAAAGCAGCTGTTTTTAATGCATAAAAATAATACTTCTACAGATAAGTACTACTAGGGAACAAGTTTCCCATGAAGAAACCCACTGACTGTTGATTAGCAGAATACATTAATCATGTAGCTACTGCCACTACTTTTAGAGCCCAACATGCTTATCATACTGATGGAAGCAGTACTGCACCTCTGGTACTCCCAATATACAACTTGCTGCTTGACCTCAATATTCCAGCTTTGTCAATAGGAACAGATGAGGTATTATGTTTATAATATGCCTTTCCTTCCAGAGTGATCAAGGGGCTAGAACCAGAGGTCTTTAACCTGCACACCAGATTAAGGTAGGCCATCATAAACGCCATCTGGAGGAATTCCTACATGGCAGTGTTTCATATTTTACCTGACAAAACTAACATGTGGCTCACACAGAGAAGATGATACTAAATGAGAAAAAAAAAATTTTGCTGCACAGATACTGAGTACTTGATTTGTTTCAGCTACGACAGCTAGAATCCCAGTTTGGTGTGCGAAGGTGGCATTTTACCACAGTCACTCCCCCTTCAACACTGGCATGGTCTGTCTTTGAAGACCAGGCAGTAAGAGCCTGTGCAAAAACATCGACTGCTTCAACTTATGCCAGACTTACCATTTTCTTTTTCAGTTTGCAGTTCTCCTTATATACAAGTATTACAGCCCTCTTAAAAACTAAAAAAGAAGGAAAGAAAGAAAAAGGAACACTATCAATTACAGGTGTAATATTCAGTGAAAATGTTGTCTTGGAAAAGCTGATTATTATAACCACTAGAATTTAAAGGATGATAGGCAAAGTATTGAAAAGCATCTGCCCTCTATTAAGGTGAGAGCCAAGTTTTTCATCCTACACTACTTCATGCAATGGCAACATTTTTTCCTCAGATTTTGTTCTGAACATTTAGGATGGAGCCGTTCTGCATGTTTATTCTAAAACTACCAGCAGCCTGTCTCCCCTAAGTCTTCACATAAACAGATACAACAAATGTAGTTTAGACGTAGAAGATTTTCTCTCTGTAGAAAAAAACAAACAACTGATGGATGTCTTCAAGTGGAAAGAAGGGCCTACGGCAAAAGAGGACTGTGACAAAAGGTGGTAAGTCTTTTCTTCCTGCTGTTCAGCATTTGGTTAACTGGAAACATTCGTCTCAATTCCTACTTTTTTATCTGCAGGAATTCTCTGGCTTCCACAACATCTGACTGGAGTGACTCATTAGATAATGCTATCTAATCTCTCAGCCTCCAGTGAGGCAGGGACACATTCTTTGTGATCGGTGAGTAGGGAACAGAAACACAGAGACAGTGAAGCTGCCTCTGACCTTTGGAATGGCTCTGCTCCCCAGTCCTTGATTTGGGCTGGAGGGAAGTATAGCTCTATCCCTACTCATGCATCCAAGTTTCCTTCCAGTGGGGTAGGAGAGAAGGCAAATGGTATGCAATTGGGTCTCATCCCTACATGCAGCCAGGATGTGGCCATAGTGAGCACTTTTACCCCAGAGTTCAGCATAGCCTTCCTAGGTCCCACGTATTAGGTGCATTTCCTATGCTGCCAACATAGTGAGCCAGGTGAAACTAACACCACGTTATCCAAGTGGCAGACGAGCAGTCTAGGCTAAGCAATAGGCCAGAGTCCTTTCATTCATACATATCCTGCTGGGAACTCCCTGAGCTCAGGTGCGTGGTGTTGGTGGACCACTGAATAGCTCATCCGAGTGAACCTGTGGAGGTAGTTCCTGTTTGCTGTCTGAAGCATTCTCTCCCTTAATCTATCATGCTTTGTTGGAGGAGGAATGTATGACAACCCTTGTGGAACAGACTTGTCTCATGTGATCCAGAGCTGTTCTGTTAGTGTTTTTCCAATGTGATTTTAAAGAAGTGTTCTTTAAAGGAAGAGTCAAGTGCCTAAAATATTTTGCCGGAACCTTTTTATTATTTATGTAATGTAATTATTGAATGATTAATAGTATAGATATTATTAAATAAAACTCTCAGTTGTATGCTCTCATTTCCACATTCATTTTTCAAGTTAAAGTAATCTAGACGGGGGTTGCCAGACAACACATTTTGCTGCAATGGTTCTAAATCAGAGGTTAACCTGGATTCCCGGGAGTAGAATACATCACGGTTTTCCTACCAGCCTCCTCTAAAAGCTTGGTTTAGCAGATTGTTCTAAAGAGATTACTTACTGTATCTTGAAACATCACTAATTTCCATAGTTTACATACAGGCAGAAGAGCAGCTGAGGTTGGCTAACAGAGCAAACAGCAAAAGAACAAATGGAAACTTTTCAATCCTTCTCATATTAGGGAACATAACAGTTCTGTGCCCGTTGTCAGATGCGAGTCTAGGTACCTAGACCTAGACCTAGGTACCTAGGTACCACAAGGCTACAGAAAAAGGAGATGGGGGCTTTCAGTAGTGAGAAAACGTAACTTGGTTATCTTTAGATTTGGAAGGAGAGAGGGCCATTAAGGAAGACACTCACCAAACACTGTGAGTTCAAGGTCTTTTCTTGCTTTGCCCAGAGATGGGAAAGGATTCAGCCAGGAAACTGTAGAATGCATCAGAAGTTCTCCCATTGAAAGCTCTGTCACCTGTATTAAATTATGAACAACAGATACATCAGTGTTGTGCTCTACAGCTGTTGGACGTAAAAAGTTTATGAGTCCAGGCTGACATCCTTAAGGATGTACATTTTCTATATTTAGTGTATGGACAGAGAGACACCAAAGAGAGAGATTTGCACTTAAGTAGGAAAGCGTATCAAGTAGAAAAGTTTTTTTTAAAAAAAACTTCCACTTTTCTAAAAAGATGAGCATAAAAAGTAAGAGCACACAAGTTACGCACGCTGGATAGAAGTTCATACTATTAGTAACTTTGAAGAGTATTAAGTTGACCTGATGTTCTGTCACTTACATATAGCCAGTCATGAACTGACTGACTTATTAGCTATAAGCATCTTTAATTTCTGTAGGGCAATTAGCATTAATGACAATGCCAATGGCAGAATTAGCGGAGGTCTTTTGCAGGTCTTTTACTCATAGGCTCTTCTATTTTTTGGGGAACACAATGTAGAACTGTAAATCATCTCTCACGTTGTCAAGTTTGTTTCCCATAAACAACGGAAAACCAGGTGGCCAAGAAAAGGGGGGATTTGGCTTTTACTAGGGGGAAATAAAAACCATGTAGGCAGCTCTCATATCTGATCTCCATCTTTACGGATTTGATCTGCTTAGTAAACTTTTGATGTAAATGGCCCAGTTGAGATCTTGCTGCCCCAATTCTGGGAAACGCGTAAACACAATCCATTCAACTAATGGCTTTTGCTCTGACAAATAGCCATGGATGCCTCAGCGCTAGAAGCGTAGAGAATGAGAATAATAGACCTTAAAGTGAAAATCCTGAGGACTGCCATTTTCATTTATATGGGTGAAAAAGAATCTTAAGAACTTCAAGAACTCTGAAGCATAAAATCTGAATGCCTCTGGGCATGGAAAATCTCTAAAACATTTGAGAAGAGGAAGATGTCTTTATTTTTTCCTACTGAGAATTACGTCTACTTCTGCTTGCAATTCTTGTCAGTCCGGAAGGCGGCTCTGGCAGCTGTCTGAAAATTTTACAGTGATCTGCTCACAAAAAGAAACTTGACAGGACAGACATGAAATGTAAGTCGTGATGTTAAAAGGCAATGGAGAGCCCAGCACAAGTTCCCAGAGTGACTTTAGGAAGAGATAAGGGCACCCAACGGCTAGCAGGATTATGTCTTAGGAGTGAATAAAACAGGCTGTTCCTTTTCTTACCTCCTTCTCTGTTCCACTTTGATCGGCAACCAGCTGATCAAATACAGTGCCGTAATCTTCATATATCTTCTGCATCTCATTGATGTGACTGGCTACTTTTTCCATTGCCTTCAGTGCTTCTATAAGGTTTAAGAATTTCACAGAGAGCTAGGTAATTAAGTTGTATTTTATAAACCTGAGATTTCTTTTATTGAATCCTCTTTGAGGTGGGTAAAACTATGCAGCATTCCCAGGATGTGGACAATAGTATCTAGCTTTATAGCACTGCTTTCTCATAGAGACTGTAGAAGGTATGCTTCCTGATCAGAAAGTGAAAAATGTTTATCTGGCATTTTAAGTGCCTCAAAAGACTAATAAGCATTCCTGTGATGAGCCCCCATATATATGAATATTCATAACATCATAATAGTAAACATGGTTAGTTGTTTTTTTTTTCTGCGTATATAGGCCACTAGGACCTCTAATATATCTACAGCCATACTAGAATAAGTAATTTGATGAACCTTAATGGTAACACATTGAAATTGGCTCATCACAGAATTGAGGAAAGAAACAATAGCGGTAGATTGTGGAAGTTCCTCACTGATTGTATCCCTGATATTAAGTGTCGGTGGTCAGGGTTTGTTTAACTTTTGTTTTTTAAACAAGAATAACGCTAGTTTTAAAACATTTTTGCATTAATGCACAAAGGAGTCAGAGAAGGGCACTTAGTTTCTCCAGTCCTGTCAGCTGTTGTTCACTGTGCAGTCTTTTATCAGGCCGGCATTCATCCCGGCCTGCAAGTCAATCACCCCCCAGTTTGGTTGTAATGACAAAGAGACAATATTAGAAGCTCCTTTTGAAGCCAGTAACAGTCTTGTGACTTTTTGCTGACAGTGTACTTTGTTAAAATGAAAAGAGCTATCCACAAAATAATTCTCTAGACCTTAAGGTGCTGACAGAACTGAACAAGAATTTGCCAGTGTGAAGTCCCAGGGATGTGAGCCTCGAAAAACAATCAACTTCTACTTCCTTCCTATGATGTTAGGCAGACAATTCTTTCTACGTGGGAAGACTGCAAAGCTTTGAGGCAGGTATTTTCTATGCAAGAGTCACAGCCAAGGCTCATGTAACTTCCTTTGTTGGAGCTGTTAAACTTTGACACATTTCAAGAACTGAATAATAACCACAAGATGGAGCTTTGCTCAGTATTTCGCCAGTGAGGGGAGGGGAAAACAAAAAACAACAAAAAAAAACCCCCAACATCGTTGCATTGCCCTGACATGCTCCTGTCACAAAAATTAAGGAGTAAGATGCCTGGTCCTGTTTGTCATAGCAAATCCTGGGCATCCACTTCTCAACGGAACTTGGACATGCCAAGTAGAAATCATTGCTAAAAGCAGGAGAAAGCTACTTCTTATTTTTAATGAGGGAAGACATTTTCTCTAAGTTTTGATGAGTGCTCTGACATCTACCAGAGCAGGCACCTGCAACTCCAGAAAGGTCTGGAAATCAAACTTAAATCATATTAATTCCTGTAAAAGAATGACAGAAGTTACCTGTCAAATGATAGTGCTCCTCACTTTCATTATCTGTCAGAGACACCAGCTCTTTTAACAGTAGAGGGTATTTCAGCACTCTCTGGACAGGCTTTATGAGATACGACTCCAGCGTTGAAGAATGTTGCTTTGTGGGGTTTCGAGCATCCAGAAAGGCCTTAAAGGCACTATCTGTTTTGGCTAAATATAAATAAAACAGTTAGTCAGTTTAACATGGAAGTCTCAGAAGCTAGAATAATTTGAAAGCGCAGAACTGCCAACTTGTAACCATCACCAAGAGCCCCAGCCTTGTCTCATACATTTCAATAGATGCTTTTCACAGTGGTTTGCACAGTGTAAATAAGTGCTAAGAGCAATAATTATATCAAGCTGATGTTATTCCGTGATACAGTTCTTCCAGTACACTGCAGGCCTGTTCTGCATCTAATTAATAAACTGATGGCAGAGAAAGTAATTCCTAATTTATTCTAGAGTCAGTTTGTTGCAGCTTTGGTTGACATCCACCCTTTTACATGCATGAACACATAAACCAAATATAGCTGCTGCTTCTGCTGCTTGTGCAGACAGCGCAAACTTGTGGACGATGTTTCTGTTGCTACTCAGCTTTACGCCTCGGTGTTACAAGAGAAATCTTATCCCTTCATTTCTATATCATGTTTTAGCACAATTGTGGATCTTAGCTATTCTTACTGTGAGAAGCCCTATTAGACCTTGCTTTATATCAATAGTCTCTGCAAGTCGATGAGAGTTCTTACAGTGGTTCACTGAAGTTCAGATTTATGCAAATGAATTACAATAACGAAGACAATACATTACCTCTCTCAAGAACTTTCTGAACTTTGATGTGGTTTGCACAGAAGCCGCTGTACAGTTTAAAGTGGTCAGCATAATAGAGAAAGGAACCTCCGAGGGAAAACAGCAATTTCTGAAATCAACACAATCAAAATTTTTACTTCATTATTAGAATCATAATCAAATGTTCAGGCCACATAACAGAGGCTTAGCGCTGTGACTACTTGCTGTCTGTCTACATATATTCTCTATTACTTTGTGTATATATATGTCACGTGAATTTATTACTGGCAGGAGCTCCATGATGTTTCTGTATTTCTCTGGGTTGAGACCAGGCTATTCAGGCAAAGCCTGCAATCTTCTCAATTCTCCCTTAGCAGACATCACTACTGAGGATATTTTGTCTTACCGTATCTCAGACGGCACATGAACAAAATCAAGAGACATGTAATGGTATGTCCTGGGAAAAAATATAGGCAGTAGGAAGCAAGGCATAAAGCTGCCAATGCCAGAAGGGACAACGTAAAACAAACACAGAGGATTGCTTTACAATTGTTTTCCTTCTTTTAGGCAGGGGGTAATTACAGCGCACCTCTGACTTTCTTAGATGAAAGGGAGGTTGGGAATATGTGGGAGGGACTCTCAATCACGAGGGAGATCTTTTTAGAAAAATATTTCCCAAAGGAAAGAGGAATAGTGAGAGAGGAGAAGGAGGAGGAGGAGGAGGAGGACAGCAGCCCTCTCCCCCCTTTTTTTAATCAATGTCTGCTCCACCAAAGGCAGCAAGCGTCAGGGAGACCTGCCAGCACGGACCAGTTCTGTGACGCTGACTGCCTCACTGGGGGCACTTACTTCCTCCAGCTATGTCAAGTACCGAGCGGTGCCACCGTAAATGTGACAGCACAGAGAGGGCACGATGTACGGTCATTTACACTTCATAGGCCCTGCTCTTGGGCCTCACGACACGAGAAAATGGTGCTGCGTTTAACGGGAAAAGCTTCCGTTTTGTAGAGGGCACGCCGGGCATAGCGGGGAGCACAAGGCAGGCCAGAATTCAGCATAGTAACAGTAAGCTTTCTGTGGAAGAGTTATGCATTGTAAGCATTGCTTATCATGTTTACAGAATATTCAAGTTCAGAGTTTATAGAATATTCAAAGCCTACTCTGCATCTTCCACGTTACATCCTCCGCCATGGGAAGACAAAACCATGACAAATAGCACTAATCTTTAACTGCTGAATAGGTGTTTGTAATCCAAAGTAAAGCTTCAAACATGAAAGCAACCATATGAAAAAAGAAGTAGAACTTAAGAGTTCTTGAAGTCAGATTTCCACAAACATTTCCAGGCACACTGCAATATAGCTGAAGATCAAGTATTTACCCGGAACTGGGATGGCGTTTCCAGCGTATTAAAATCTGAGGAGGAAGAAATTCCATCTTCAAGGGTCTCCAAAAACACCTTCTGGAAATCCAGCATTTCTGGCAGACTGCCGAACAAGGACTCCATCTGTGAATATCAAGCATCAGGCTATGAAGTACAGTGCTCCATAGCTCTAACAGTGGTCTTGAGAAAACAGTCCTCGAAGGAGATGTGACACAAACAGAGACTGCAATGGCTAATAACGTTTTCATTAATAATTTTCAAATGGGCTTTACAGAAAAACCATTACCAAAAGGCCAAGAATTCTTAGCAGCATTTTGGTCAGAAGAACGACTACCATTAAAAAAAGAAGTGACTCATACCAGACAAAGACACTAAATGGTGTACTATTGCCATGTTTTTTGTTCGCCTTTTCAGTCATGCTCTCAGGAATGGAAAAGCCCAAATGCCAAGGTCTTACCCATAAAAGAATGAAAAGCACATCTTTCAGTTATTCTCTCACCTCATCTTGGGTAAGGAAGGTTTCATTTTGAAGGGGTTCCAAGTACAGCTCAAAGAGGCAGCTCAAGTCCTGCAAGAAAAAGAATTTATTTAATTTTATGTAACAGTTGGAAATTGTTCTTTATATCACAACTGAGGAATACAGGTAGTTTTCAGGAAGGAACCAGAGACACAATTCCTCTTCTGTAACAAAATCACCTCTGTACTGTTAGTACTAAATGATTGCTAAATTAAAGGCAAATTCATTTCAATGCAATATTTCTGTTTAATCCTTAAGGCTTTACAGACTGATTATAACAATTTATATTTTAGCACAGCATGGGGAGAGAAAGTAGCAGATGATGACTTTCTAAAGAATATTTGTGCACATATATGCACATATTCTAAAGAATGCGCACGTACATGAACAGCATCAAGTATTTTAGTCATGCATGTTAGATAAACCATATAAATAGCCACTCATTTAAACATCAGTAGTAATATTCAGAAGGACATGTAACATTTTAAAATCCTATTAGGTTTTGAAGTGTTTGGTTATTTTGTCGGGGTACATGATTAAGGACTTTTCCAGTCACTTCTTCAAAGAATTGATGCCTCTTTTGAAGACTTACTGTCCCACACCAGAGCATGACGGCTGAGTTGAGGCCTGAGAAAAGAAATCGCAGGAATTCTTATGAAGAAGGAGTAACGAGCATTTCTCTGAGAACCTCCTAATGAGTTTTTACAACCTGCCTGTCCTACAGTTTTGCCTGGTATTACCAGGCATTTCAGTGACCTCCATACGAAAATCACAAGACAAAACCAGAATCTGGTTATGACATTGGTGTGATTTCACATTTTGGAGAACCACAGGGAAAGCATATGGCTAATAATTTAGCATCACACATTCATGCAGGCATCCTCCTCTATGGTATAAGTAGACTTATTCAAAAATGCAAAGGCAGAGTTTGAGCCTTTGTTCAAGTGATTCCTCTATAAGAAACATCAGCTGGACATACATGGGGGTCTATGTTCTGTAAAGCTCCCTCCAGCTGTATAGTGTATGGCTAGAGATTAGTGGCTATTCTAAGGACAAGAGATTGAAAGCTCTTTCTCTTAATTTCCATAAATGATTGCAGCAAGTATAGGTATTTGTAAGTACGTGTCTTGAGAACAAGTACAGTAAATGACTCCTCCTTGCCAAAGGTCAATGAAAGCAAGCCTTCCACATTGCTTTTGGCATTTAGCCCCAGGAAGTTTGGATTTCTAAAAAGAAGGAACACATATCTAACAAATTATGGACTTACCAGTCAAAGGAGAAATACCATGCATGATGCTACAAACAACCTTTCAGCTTTGAAAACTGCTGAGTCAAAATAATTATTCACTGTTTTCTACAGTTAAACTCTTTCCTAGTTAGCAGGAGGCTTTTTTGTTCTTCTGCTAGAATATATTTTCATTTTGAAAACCATGGAAACATCTGCTGGCAGACCCCCAGTATTCAAATGCTGCAGATTTCTACTCCCCATGAATTTCCACTTTCCAATATACATACAAATTGACTAGAACTAAAGCCACTAAAGCCACTAGACCAAATCTTTCAGCCTTTCTTATGGGAGTGAGCCCATTGAAAACAACAAGAGAAATTATGTAAGCAAACTCTGTAGGTTATGGCCCTGGTAGATGGCTGCTCACATGTAAGCGTGCAATATGTAAGACCATCCAAAATCATGGTCAGCCTCACAAAGAAGGCTGTAGCTAGCCAGAAACCATTTTGTTTTGTTTTGTTTTTTTTTTACCTTGACATAAGATTTCTCAGTGTCCATAAGTTCTTGGATGACTTTTCTCAATCTATCTGCATCAGAAAGGTGCCGAGCCAGTGGTCGTGGAGGCGGATCCTGGTTGTCCTTCTGTCCTTCCATACTGCTTGCCTGGACTTCTTGGAAATTTCGGCACAATGCGCTGATCTGTTCTGCACTCTGTTAGATTGAAAAAAAAAAAAAAAGAGACAAGCACTGACAGTTTAGAACACAAACTGTACTACAAGCATTTTTAAATTCCTCAAATTTTGCTCTTGCTCCAAATTCAGGGGCCAGGGCATGCCACTGATTTTTGTCAAATATATCCTGATTGCTTTGACCAGCTTGAGCTTATAATATTACTACATCAAAACATTAAAATGAACCTTTTTCTAGTTCATTCTCAGTGCAAATCATTTTCACTCTTCAAATACACACTTGTGGGATGCAAAAGGTGAGAGAGACCACTCAAGGATATTATATACTTTGATTCTTATGACATTAGCATCATGCTGTTTTCCATCTCTCTGATTTTGCAATATTCATTGCATCAAAATAGGAAGAATTAGTCGATACAGATCTTATCTTTTAAGCATCCAGAATGAGTGTTCTATCGGTCATCTACTTCATATATATATATTTTTTTTTAAACGAAGGAGACTTGGAGCTCAGGTTTCAGATTCCAAAGGCCCATTCTGTTGAAAGATACTTAGATGCTTCCCATGCAAGGAGAAGATGTATCAAGATTTTTGCTTTCAGAAGCAGGGAATGGAAACCTAAATCTTTAAGGTTCTTCAGAAGAATGCTAAACACAAGTTGTTTTTCAAGCCAGGTGTGAGCTGGAGATGGAACAATGGCTAATCTTACATGGTAAAAATTGAAGAAAATGAGAGCTTTTCTGACCATATGGAATGATTCTGCAGTTGCTCTTGCACGACCACCACTGGTACCAAAGAGCACATTTTGTACGCAATAATCTTTAATGCGTAATTTGAAAATTATTCCTCTCTTCTCTTTCTTATATAACATCTTCCTGCTACAATTACCCATGTCTGCCTTAATAGTTCTTGGTATCCATCTCTTCAAACTAAATGAAAAAATTCTTCCTCAGTGGTACTGTCTTTCAAATACTCTCTAAAACACTGGACAGCTGCACACGCTGTGCCACGTGTTACCTTCTATTTAGTGAATGCGTTCAAATGAAGACTAAACGAATACGGCCTTATTTCAAATGGAAGTCCTGATTCAGTGAAGAAATCAGGACATGAGTGCACCCCAGAACTGTCTTAAATCTGTTCTAATTTACCCCACAAGCTGTTTCAAGCTCTTTGGATCTCCTGATTCACCACAGATTGGCTGTGTAGTTGGGTTCACCAACATACTGGGTTATCAAATGAGCTAATGTAGAAGTTATTCTGAAACTAAACTAAGCTATACTAAACCTTCTGTAAGGTGGAGGCTACATGTACTAGCAGCATTAAAATCTCAGCCATTCACGTGACAAAACAAGTATACCACCCTCACATCTATTTTAGAGGAAATAAATGTTAAAATGTCAAATACTTGCCATGTAGTCCATATTACTCTATTGTTTTCCAGGCCCCAGTTTTGAACAATGCCACCACCATCTCTTAAAAAAAAAAATCAGTTACTTTCCTTACTAATATGTGCAAACATCTTTCACAATCCTGTGTAATGACAGCTTTCAGGACTCTGAAATTTAGATAAATTCCATATTTATAGCATTAAATAGGACCTGACAAAATTCAACATAAATTCAACATAAATTGAATGGTGTTTGTTGGAATTACTGCTTCACTGTGCTGGAATATACCAAAAAATCACAGTAACTCTGTGCCACTAAAAATACTTAGTGTGTTTTGGAAATAAATTGTAACTTCACTTAGCAAACTGGGGGTTTATTTTAAAACAACTTCTAAATAGCTGAATTCCAAAGTACTTCAGTTTTGTTTTCTTTGTTTCTGATGTCAGAAAGTTTTTTATTTGTATCAGAATGACTCAGATTTTATGCTCTCTACAGCTAAAGGTGCGCGTGGGCAGCCTGATTTACATCAACATGATGCCTGATCAAGGACACGAGACAGCCTATTGAAAGCAAGTCATAAACATTATTGTCAGGCACAATTTGACAAGGAGGAGTTAGAAGTGCTCTGTTCCTCCCCGCCCCCCTTAGCACAAAGTGGTAGGGCAGGCAGACTTTAGAGAATAAGCCGCAAGTCCTCCTTCCCTTTCAGTCCGGGCTGGAGATGGATCTGCTCCCAAGAACCATTCGCTAAGAAAGCACACGGACCTCGATATCCTCAACATAAATAGTATTTGAGCTCTCTGGTGCCTGAAATGGTTCTGCAGCATAACTGAACCAAGCGCAAGGCACACACTGAGGTACCTCTCAGCCCTACTGCTGATGACTTGTGCTTTTATGAACGTCAGTATGTTCCTGAACATGGGAGCATGCTGCTTCTGCTCGTGCAAGTCTGGCCTTAAAAATACTGCCCCTTTCCAACAGTGCTGCTTGTCAGCTCTGATCCTTTCCCACAGCCCTCTATCCTCCCCTCTGAGGGGGGCTTTCAAGCTGTGCAATATCTAGCCCTCGTTCTCTGTAGCCACTACAGTATTCACATTTGGGCCAAAGCAAGCACGAAGTACACTACTCGATCAGGACAGAAGTAGTTCACATTCACCCCTACATACTTCATGCTACATGTCAACTTCACCCATAGCTCTCAATGACCACAGTTGTGCTTTATCTTGTAAGATGGAAATGAATCATGTCCCACTTTCAATAATACTCATGATTAGAGACTATTCCGTTAAAGTGAAAAAAGGATACGCTTACTAGGAACCTCAGAGAGGTTTTCTTTGCTCCTTGTACACAAGCGTATCAACATCATCATCTGAGGCCATGCTATCTCCACTAGATGCATAAAATTAATCGGAAAGAGGGAAGATGACATTAATTAGAAATAGTTAGGCATTAGCACCACAATTTCACAGCTACCCTGTGACTTCCTACCGAATGATACTGACTGAGCATAAATGGTGCACAAGGCTAATTAGTGTCACGGTCTCTCTCTTCACTGCTGTTGATTTTACTGTCTCTCATTTATACACCTCATGTACTCTGCCAGCCTGCTGGGGTTTGTCTGAAAAAGTGAAGGAAAGAAACATTGTGAGTAGGCTTAGAAAACTCTTCAGCATAAGAAAGATTCCTCGGGAAGACTAAAACTACGCCTATCCTTTGATCATTTTTCAGATTCATGTACCCTTGTGCAGGACACTGACCACATCTGCACGGAGATGACTAAGCCTTCAAATTCCTTATCAAAAGAGGAAGCATGCTGCTAAGGCCTGTTGCAGAAACAGATTAGTCCCGTATCTTCAAAAATGAATCTTTCAGTTAACAGCTCTGCTCTGTCTGATATAGGTGTTTTCGGGAAATAAGACTGAATGCACCAGTCAACAGAAGAAATAAAATTACATGGGATTTTGAGAAATGAACAACTGCCCAGAGACTTTTCTACATCCTTCACATTGTGAAAAAGGAAAGCCTTTGGAAATGTCCATCACTTTTCTTTTGTACGAGAAAGCGTTCCTCTCCTGAGCAAAGGCAGGCCCAGCAGCCACCACTTTGTGTGTGCATTTCTGTCACTCTGTGGACCTCTCTCCCTCATCCTCAGACTGGGAAATACTTTGTAACCAAAGCAAAGGCTAGAAAGTTGCAGGTCTTTCTGTGTGTCCTTAAGGACCACTGTAAAAGGTCCTTAAAATCCTGAGTTCTGTACACAGTGACACAGTACATGCACTCCTAAATTGTTTACTAAGACTGAAAAAGGCCAATACAGTTTTACTGAAAACTGCCCCGTGGGTTTTTCACCATAGCTATCTGGGCAAGACTCCTGCTGAGCCTCAGGCAGCAGAAGTTAAAGTAGCAGGAACTCTGTCATCGCTGGTTTTACCTTTTGGTCACTTGGCTAACTAAGTCGCATCCCTCCTCTTTTTTCTTTTTTTTTTAATTTTATTTATTTATTTATTTTTTCCCCCTGAAGATAACAACAAACACGTTCCTTTCTCCTCCTGCTAAAAAGGATCTCGGAAACGAAAATCCAATCCTACTTCAACACCACCGAGAACACAAAACTGGCACTCACAGACACTGCTGAAAATTTTAGGGTCTATTTTGCTTAGCTGTGTTTCTTGCACGCCTTTTAATTAAAATGTTTAACGTATTGCTAAAGGAAAGATTTTTTTTTATTTTATTTTTTTAATGCTAATTCAGATCCTGGCTTGTATCCATAAGCCAAACATATTTAGACTTATGCTTAAGGATGGAGAAACAACCCTTCTATGGTACATTATGGCACATCATGAAAAGCAGCCCTACCACACTACCAGAAGAGTCCCTATCAGGCAATATGGGAAGAATTAAGGATACAGTTTTGTCTTTCAGTCAGAATTTCCCAATTTCAGAGAGAATTTCCCTCAGAAACCTTATGCTATTTCTTCTCTTCTAGAGGTAAACCATCGTAATGCTTTGTTCTATCTTTTTATTTTGTAAATGAAAAACGTTCATTTACATTAAGTCTCTTCCAGTAACACAACTACGTATTACCGATCTTATTTCATGAATCAAAAGTACACTAAGACAACAGCTTGATGATCTAATAACTCTTTCCTGACTGAGCAGGTCAAGATTTCAAAGAAAACTGAACGCTTGGCTCTGTAAAACGACAAAGACGCAACCCACCTGACTGGCTGCCCAACCTCGTGATCTGAATTACATGGAGGAAAATCTTCACTCTCAGTTGCCATAGAGAGATGCTTATCCTTCTCCTTGATCACACAGGAGGAACCTGTGGTGACCTAGGTGTTTAGCGGAAACGCCTAGTTATAAACCAAGTCACGCAGACTGGATCTGGGCCCAAGAGCCTGCACCAAGCAGGTCCCAAGGCCTGGCAGCTCCTGCTGAGCACGCAGCCGCTGTGCTCAGCTTCTCTGACAATCACTCTCCCGAGGCACCTGAGCCAAAGCACATCAAAGTCAAAGGCAAAACGGAAACCATCTTCCATCACAGAAGGTCAAATTCTGACCATAAGAAATGTGAAGATGAGGACAACGAGCATCAACTCCCTCCCAAAACAAACCAACGCGCACACACACAC